GGTACTCGTATTTTTTTCGTTTTCACCTCAAGAACAGTATTAAAACAAAGTCCGGATCCTCGCCGAAGCACTACTACACTCTAAGAAAAAGGGTGTAGCCCTTACACACCGCTTGTCACATATACGACACCCCAAAACTTCAGTTCGCCGTACAGGGCACTGACATCAAGCTGACGGCCCTAACTTCTACGAGAGGCTTGATGACGGTGAGATATGAGATATTAAACAGCTAACTGAGGTTTTGCAGTAGGGCCAAGAAAACCCCGATATTTATTTTTTTTTACAGTCAGTTACATTTACGTAAACTATTTTAATAAGTTGTACAACTCAGCTATCAAGCCACTCGTGAAAGTTGGTAGCGTCGGTTGAACGTCAGTGCGCGGTACGCCCAACTGAAGTTTAGGGGTGTCGTATATGTGACAAGGGGTATAAGGGCTACACCCCCTTTTTTTAGCGTGTAATTTCCCCCATTACGTAGAGAATGATGATATATGTAGGCACATTTTAGATTATGTATATGTTATCTTATGAAGACTCGCACGCTTTAAACGTCGAAAGCATCGCTTCTTCCTCCGAACCTCCAAATCTGGTAAGAACTACTTCGCGTGGCGTATGAACAACGCGCAAAACTTAATTTTTTCGTTAGGTGAAAACGAGTATGGCCCGGCCTAACCATACTTTCACAAATCGCCACTGATTCAGAAACCTCTTTGTCGCGGTGAAATCACGAGGATAAAATTGAACTATTTCTTTCAGTCTTGCCTTCGCAAAGCTTGTTGACGTGGTTGTGGGATCGAAACCACTCCATTTGACGACAGCCGAGCGCGGCTCAAGGATTGGACACGAAAACTGCGTGATCCCTCGACTTCGGCTTGTAACAACCAATGCCTCGGCGGACCTCGGGTGGTGGCTCGTCTCCAACCACTGCGGTGATGAGAATAGCCGAACTCTGACAATGTCTGGAGCTCAGCGCGTGTTTTTCTTTTTTTTATTTATTTTGACAACCCCAGCGCGTCGGTCTGGTTAACGTTGGCGGCATAGGATAGGCACCAGTCCACGTTGCTTGTTCTGGCTCCCAGTCCACTCCGAGTTGAGGGGATGAACGATGTTCGCATTTGTCAAATTTTTTTTGGCGACTGCCATTGCCTAGAAAGAAGAAAACTAGAAGTTTAATCAGTTATTAACGTTAGGGAGTGATTCTAAGTAGTATCTAGCGAAAGCAGAAACATCGTTTCATGGCTCCTTTAACGTTGTAATATAAACAAACACAACATTTTAGAGGTAACACAAAGATGGCAGTGTAACAAAAAAAGGGGGAGGGGGAGTGTGGATGTGATCAACGCTGTCCCTTTAGCACGGGAAATCACTCAATTGATTTCACGATTTCCACGCAGGTGGGTTCCATACACGCGGCCTAATAACTTTTATTGCGTCGCACTGCGCATGCTCACAAGTCCTGCGCATGCGCGGAGCGACGCCTCAAACAGTTCGGGGAACCCAGAGCGTGGGGGCTTCGTATTCTAGAGCTCTCTATTGTTTCACCACCAAGACCAAGACGCCTCCGTGAGCGTTTGACACGTGCCAAGCGCCGTCTCCTCGCCGGTCTCGTTTGCGATGGCGGACAGAAAGCAGACGCAGCCTCGTTTACACTGCGTGGTTTCGGTTTTCGCGTCCCGAGCGTGCGTGACGTCCATCTATTTGTTTGGGACGCAACGGAGAAGGCACGCCCTCACCCCCCTTTCAAGTAGAAGCCGTTTGTCGGTTCTGGAATGCAGCTTTTAGTTGTGTTTCGTTTACTGGCCTCGGTGCTGTGGCGAGAAGTCCTTACCAAAACGCCTTGGGTCAAGGTAAACACGGGACCGGGAGATGCGGTGCACAAGAATAACGACGAAAGTCGTCAACAATGTGAAGCTGTTTAGTAACCGTCGAGCTGTCCACTTCAGACTCAAGTCTCAGAGTTGTAACTGCCACATTTTAACAATTTTTTTTTGTTGGTATGTTTTACAAACCGGTGCGACTTATATGCGGTTCTTTTTCCTTCGAGTGCGAACCTTAACTTTGATCATTTTCCGCGGAGGTTATATTTGTCGTTCGATTCGTGGACGAGAATGTTGGAACGGCCTCCCGCTTGTGCGCATGTCGCGATCACAATACATATTTGCAGGCTTGTCAATGCTGTTTTGCCGCTCCGACCCTACAGATATTTAAGTGCTACTTATATACCAAGCTTGCTTTGGTGAAAACGCTCGTTCATAAAGGGGTGCGACTTAAACAACGGTGCGACTTGTATAGACAGGAAAATCCATCTTGTTTAACTTTTACCGGCTTGCGTGTGTCTTGCCATGATGTTCGAACTAGGGGAACGACGCGGTTTGCACTGCGCCACAAACCGGATAGAGAGACTGTTGAGATCGTGCTCGAACTTTTTGCCTGTTTCTTTTGTGAGTTAAAGCAGTAAGACAGTTTTCGATTTCATAACACCGCTTATTTCAATTCAACGGGTGCCTTATGCACGCCAAACTTCAAGCGAAGTGTAAGTTTTATCCAAGAACTTTAGGACGGCAAAGGCTACGCGAAAGTAGTAGGTCAAACGGCGTGTGTTGCCATTGCGCAGCGTTACTTCTTGAAGGACAGTGACGTTCGAAAGAAATTTCATTTTTATCGGACTAATAAGGCATGACCCCAGAATTATCAGAATTACACGTGAATTCTTCTTGTCAATATGTATAATCAATTTATAGGGACGCCTTTCAAAAGTCCGCGACAACTCCTGTCTGCCATTACTTGTTCATGTACTCTGAGCATGTACTGGGCACGATGGCTTCGTCAGCGTTCGGCGAGGACTTGGGTCCACTCACGCACTTCGTGTGCAGTGGATGGATGGATATCAGGCGGCAGCTTACGCCGCCTAGCCTAGTCGCCAAGCAATGGCGACCGCCAATGTTGCTTGATGGACTTTTGAAAAATATCTTAGTTGTCCGAGCCAAGCCAAAAAGCCCGCTTCCTAAACAGCCATGCGGTGAAAGAGTGACATGTCTGCGTGAGATATCGTCCGTAATCTTGTCCTTTCTTTACCACCCCACCACACCTTCCGCGTGCAGTGGGTTCGGCGAACTGCTGGAGTGCTACGCGTACCACTACCTCAACTGCGACGACCGAGGCGGAGTCCGCAGAGCGTACTTCGAGAGGCTCCTCAAGGCCATGGTCTCTTCCTTCCAGCTGCTCTGTGGTGCTGACAGGAAGACATTGCAGGGTAGGTACATGGCGCCGCTAGAGCCCCGCCATCCATCCCGCCTTTCCCGCTCTTCCTCTGAGATGTCCACTGGTAATTAGTTACTTTTGTAAGGTTAGATTCCACGTAATTACCATACCAAGCTTCCATCCCACGATTTTCGTCTTGAACTTAAAAATAAATATATTGATGTTCGCAAAACTTGCTCTCTTTGGAAAGACAGAATTATAGCGAGTAAAATTTAAAACAAGAGCGGCAAAATGAAGGGGGAAAATACGTATCGCTATGGCTCAAAACTATGTTTTGGAATTGTGACAAAATAATCTCACCGTCCTTACTTCCGTGTGGCAGTCGTACTTGCCACGAAATTGACTTTGGCCATAATCGCAGTTCAACAGACCGATCTCATCAGCCAGTTTCGTTAGGTCGCCGCGGTCGCCATGCATTGTGAGAACTGTAGGCTTTCTGCGCGCGGGACAACTCTGCTGCGAGTCTCCGCGAGCAGGGCAGGAGCTGGTTTGTGCACTGCCGCCTGCCCTCTGTAGAATACAGTTCTGGCGGAGTCACGCTTGCGTGGGACGAGTAGCGAGATCGATCCATTAGGCTTTGTTTCACCCATTGCAAATATAAAATTAACGCTCTGTGCAATGAACTACGAATGAGGGCCAAACAGCCGTTCGCATACTTTCATTTGCATATGACCGTGTTATTACAATCTCTTACGACGAGAGAATGCACTGGCACGCTCACGCCCTCTGTGAGGTGACCCTGAAGCTGCATTTCACTAGAGCGAAGGTTTTGCGGTATTTGCGAACTGAAATGTACGTTCTATCTATGAGAAACTGTCGTTTATAAAATTGTCAAGAAGCTTTTCAAGCCAAGAAAAAAAGATTGATCGGCGAAAAATATAGAAAATATACGAAAACGTCAAGCGTTCCACGGCTATCCGATAGATGGCTCCAGTGTGTTTTTTCGTCGCAAGAGATTTTAAAAGGCTGATAGGCACACGGTAGTAAGCAATCGCAAGTGCGTGCCAGCCTTAATACGGTGACCTGATTGGCAGATCTCTTCTACGACGGACACTGCATCCTGAAGGTGGCCAACAACGCCGGTGGCTGCAGGGCAGCCAACTTCGAACCGGCGACGACGTGGAAGCGGATCTTTCGGTTCCAGGCGGAGCAGCAGGACTGCCTGAGCATGCTGCGCCACACCAAGTGCCTGTCACGCGCCCTCAGCAAGTCCGGCTGCAGACCGGAGGCCACGTCGGCGTACAACACCTCGGTCATCGACTTCCTCTTCGTGTTCTGCCAACAGGCGTTCTCGTCTGGCTCCAGTGAACTGTGCCGTCCTCCGGTGGGACTGGCTATCTCTCTAGTCATCGCCGTCTTGCTGTGGTGTCAAAGTAGCAGGTTGCTGCGCATCAGTCATTGACTATACTTCCCCGCGATATCCGTGGCTTATTGTTTTAATTTTGCTTCCACGGGCTCTTTTTTTTTTTTTTTTTTTTCTTGCTACTGAATAAATTGCAGGAACTTTTTCTAAGAAGTCGTTTTGAGGGTGAGAACGGCAGGACGCGTCTTTGCGGTGCCCGGACCCCCAGCGCGAGCTCGTTGTCTTCAATTGCACTTCGACTGCGCGTGCACGCTGGAGGCTCACCAGACACTGAATCGTTATCGGAGGAAGCTCGCTCGGGAGGCTTGACGACTGAATGACCTTCTTGACGTGCTAATCCTGTTTATTTGTTATTTTAGATGCGACTATTAGAAAGGGGCTGTCCTAACCCAGGAACAAGAATTATTTTCCATAAGAAGCATGAAGGGGCAGGACTTACAAGGGGTGTTCATAAAGTTCGTATTATCGGATTTAAAAATTTTAAAAAGGGGGGACCAATACAGTGGAACAACCTAACACTCATATCACTATGATCCAGATGCAAAATGACAAAGCAAACAGTGGCAACACGCGTGAACTCACCAGCGCCAAAAAAGGCCAGGATTGTGCCGTCGTCGGGAAAGGTCGTGCTGAGCCTGAACTGGGACTGTCGCGGTGTTCTCTTTACTTATTATTATTTAATTTATTTAACGACACTATTAGTTCTTACAAAGAATGTAAGAGAAGTGGCATGCAAAAGCACTCCAACAAAGGAACTTCAATAGACCCCAGTGCCCCGGCCCGCGCTAAAAGAATCATGGGAACAGTGTTCGTTCAGCTCCTCAGTCATCGGTAATTTCAACCCTATCCTTGGTTACACAGCTTTCGAGCGTAATTCAGAGTCACCCTGAACAAGCGCCTCATATACCCCAATGACCCGTCATATCGCTTTTAAAATTTCTCCTCAATGTTAGCGTTCTTTATACCGTGCACGCTGCCCACCCTTCAATCTGGGTGGGCTGCAGAAATCTCTTACATTATTATCATGCTGATATTAAGTTAGAAACGCTAAAAATGCTATAAACAGCCCCGCGGACTCCGAGCTAAATCCTGCTTTTTGTTGTTGTGAATAATCGGCTTTTTAAGCAATTCCTGCTCAAACAACAATCACGAGAGTGATAATATTGTAAGAGATTTCTGCAGCTCAGGCCAGGTTGAGTATCAAAAATGCTAACATTGACGAGCAATTTTAAAAGTGATATCACAGGTCCTTGGGGTATGTCAGGCGCTTGTTCAGGATGACTCCGAATTACGCTTAAGAACTGTGTAACCATGGAGTTGGTCGAAAATTAGCGGTCACTAGGGAGCTGAAGGAACACCGTTCCCATGATTCCTCGAGTGCGGGCCGGGCGCTTGGGAATATAGCAAATGGTCTATATGAGTGTGGTCCCACTTGCAGGGCATGGAACACAAATACTAAACAAACAAACATTCGTCAGTATCACGTTGGGAACATTAAATAAAAAAGCTGTATGTACAAAATGGGAAACAAAAACATCAGTTCCAGCAAAGCAGCAACAGTGATAGCGGGAACATTTAGCAAGTTATACAAATGATGATAGTTGGTCTAGAAATAAAGAAACATATGTCACAATCAACAATGTGCCTGGAAAGGAAGGACATTTGTAAGTGTCGACTTGAGAGTGGCGTTCAGTTATCATTTTGGAGTGTAAATCGTCTGCTAGTTCTGGTTGAAAACGTTATGTACTTGTCCTTTGGTATTTTGGTATAACAGATTATGACTTTGATATAACCGATTGTGCTCACAAAGGTCAAACGATTACAGGAAATTATTATCTTGAGCTTCAGACAAAGCGGCGAGAAGCTATCAAGGCGAAGCGCAAGAGGAAGCTCACGAAAGGAGTCCGTCTTGTTCACGATAATGCCCCGGCTCACTCCGCACAGCCGACGTTGTCACACGCGGCCCTTCAAATTTCGAAATTTTGCGTCATCCCCCCTATTGGTCAGCTTTCTGTGCCAATGCAGTCAATGCCAGGGGAGATGGTGCACCAACCGCTGTACACGCGCTTTCCTCTTCTCTTCGGGTTGCCACAGTAAGCTGACCGCCTCGCACGAAGACACCATTGCGTGGTAAGCTTTTCAAGGACGACGACCAAAGGGTTGCTGAAGAGGAGCAATTCCTGATCATCCAAAACGGAGTTCTATAACCATGGCCTCCGGCAGGTTGTCCATCGCTGGCAAAACCACGTGACTGCGCGGCGAATATGTATAGAGAAGCACTGAACTCCTACCCGAGTTTCATTGCTGAATCGCCAACCCTTCATTACAATAACACGAGCTTTACGGACAGTCATTTTTTTAGAGTAGTTTGCACAAGAATGGCGTAGAGAATTACTTCCGGTTTCACTTAAAACGTCTTTTTGCGAGATGCTGGGGAAAGTCCGGAATCTGCGATAAAAGGAATAAAAGGTGAGCTCGTTCTCACTTCGCTTTGAGCGTACATGGGAGAAGATATAAACAGTGGCGTCACAAGAGGGAAGGGGGGGGGGGGGGGGGGGGGGGATCCAGCGCTCATGGGGGTGCAGCTGGCCACGGGCAGCAGGCCACGAGGGCGGGGTGGGCGTCGCGGCGGCCCACCACCACGGGTGCCGCTGACCCTAGTGGCGCCACTGGGTATAAACCCCAAAATGTTAGGAAATAAAAACAAAAATCGATTTGTAAAATGTGCCCTTCGACGAGTGCATGAAGCTAGCAGAGTCGTTTCATTTGAAATTGAACACGCTTGTTGGGGTGGGTCTTTCGATTTTTTTTATATATATGTAATTGCCCTATTCTGTTAAAAACATAACCACTTCTCAAAATTAAAAAAAAAATCGCTTAACAAAAAATATTAAGTGGAGCAGGGTGAAAATCTGCTTTTTACTCCGTGATTTTTCTACCCAGTTCTGTAATCTGGTATGAATACGGAAAGCATACACAACTCACAGTAACTTTTTGTGTTCTTGTGTACTATACTGACTATATTTGAGTAAAAAATACTTTAATATCTTTCTTTTTTTTACTGAGGTGAAAATGCCAAACATCGTCTCTTTGACGATCCGGTTGCATATTCAGAGCCTTGTATCTCATGAGTTATATTTGTCGCTAACCAAATACTATGCGGGTGTAGTCCTATACATGGGCTATCGACGGGCATAGGTTTAGTTTATATAAAATCTGAAATATCGTTGAAAATGAGATTTACTGATATTTTGAACCCACTTTATCGAAAAAAAAATTCTTATTTCGTTTAATTTTTATTTATTATTGCTGCCGATCATACTAACTTTCGACTGGCTTATTGCGATTTCCCCCTTTTCTGTTGTATCTTCTCTAGAAGTGATCGAAATCGCACCCACGTTCTCGGAACGGCCAAACGCAGTTCCCGCAGGTCGTCTACGCTGCAAAGACTGTACCGCTTATTTCTCTGTTAAGATCAAGCGGATCAATTTAATTTGATTGAGAACACTCGTGCTTGGGTACATATTGTATTTTCTTAATTTTGTAATGATGGCAACTGACATTCCTTAGTCCGATCGTTAGCGGTGCAGCGGATGTTCCATTATTCGGTGTGTAAAGCCAGTAGTAAAAAACAAGGTGTAAAAAAAACTGATTTTCACCCTCCTCCACTTAATATTTTTTGTGGAGCGATTTTTTTTTTTTTTTCAAGTTTGGAAAGTGGTTTTACAGTAATTAAATATATTAAAAAAATCGAAAGACCCACTCCGACAAGCGTGTTCGATTTCAAGTGAAACCACCCAGCATATAAACGTCAATTTTTCTGGCTCCATTTTTGAGATGCAATACTTAATTAGGACCCGTTGTGGTTGAAGCGAGACAGCTTGAAAAGCGCGAGGAAATGCTAAGGGTGCAGATGAATTATGTTCTATCTCCGGAAATTTTGCGCAGCGTCCAGGAAGGCGCAGGCGGAAGTGGGTACTCGGGTTCAGACACTTGCGACCGCTTACGACCGAGTGCGTTAAAACCCCTAGTGATCTCTGACGACGGGAGAGAAGACTGGCGCCATCTATCGGGTGGCCGCGGAACACTTGCGATTTTTTGTATATTTCCTAGACTTTCGCGCATTATTCTTTTGTGTATTTGCTTGAAAACTTTTGGCAGCGTTTACACCACTGTTCCTCATAGATGCTAGGCACATTTGACCTTGCAAATACTGCCAAACCTTCTATCTTGTGAAGTACTAGTACAGTTCCAGAGCCACCTTGTAGACGGAGTCAGCGTGCGAGTGTATTCTCTTGCCATCACAAGAACCCGGTCGTAAGCAAACCCAAGTGTGTGTGAAACCAGCCTTTACAACTGAAGGTAGAAAAAAAAATGAAGGACGTTTACAAACCTCTGTAATGGCACGTTTACACTTGAGGATCCACCAGCGAATCCGCCCAGCTTTTGCCGCTGGGGCGAAACGCTGGGCGGAAAACACGGCGGCGAGCCGTCTAGGTCCGGGATCTATTTCTGCCACCGAACGAGGCGTTTCGCTGACCGGAAGTGACATTCTTGCACTGAGCGACGCTGCCTACGTCACAACTTCCGGGAGTAGCAGAGCCCGGGAGAGACAGCCGAGGAGGGAACTCTCGCACCTTCTCGTCATATTTGACGGGATGTTACGAGAATAGCTGCCGCAGCCGCTCGAAGGAAATGTAAACACAATCCGCTCGTCGCCGCCGCCGCCGGGATCGGATCCGCTCCCGCGGCAGCGGATTTCTTCTCAGGTGTAAACGTACCATAATGCGAAATTAGAAAAAATGAAAGCCGTTTACAACTCCCTGTAACGCCGAATTGGAGCGCAGCTCTTGACGAGGAGGAGGAAAGGGTACTAAGGGCCACGTGTTCGGGGGGGGGGGGGGGGACGTGACATAGGGACATAGGGGAAAGGGTCACGTGACCCCCCCGAGGGCACGTGACCTTGATGGGGTCACGTGGGGGAGAGTCACGTGCCCCCCTCCGAGGTCACGTGACCGATCTCGGAGGGGGTCACGTGACCTAGGGAGTGCGGTCACGTGACTCCCCAGGTCACGTAACTCCCCCCCCCCCCGGTTACGTGACCAAGATTTCCCCGCTAGATTTAGCGGGGAAATTTTTCCGCTAGATTTAGCGGGGAAATTTTTCCGCTAGATTTAGCGGGGAAATTTTTTCCGCTAGATTTAGCGGGGAAATTTTTCCACTAAATTTAGCGGGGAAATTTTTTCCGCTAGATTTAGCGGGGAAATTTTTCCACCAGATTTAGCGGGGAAATTTTTCCACTAAATTTAGCGGGTAAATTTTTTCCGCTAGATTTAGCGGGGAAATTTTTCCGCTAGATTTAGCGGGGAAATTTTTCCGCTAAATTCAGCGGGGAAATTTACCCATAATGCACCGCGCGGTTATGCCGACGGCGACGACGGCGCCGCTCAAGCCGGAAACGGGCGCCTAAGAGCTGTGCTCTAAAAAATGAAGGACGTCTACAAACCTCTGTAATGCGAAATTAGAGTGCAGTTCTTGAGGTATTTTGATTTTACCATATACCGTGCTAAACAATTTGAGAAAGAGATATATATTACAAATATAGATCCCTCACCTCCCATACTGGTTCTGCACCCTCCTCTTCCGTGCCCTCTTCCTCCTTCGTACCCTCCCCTCCTCCTCCTCCGTACCCTCACCTCTTCCTCCTTCGTACCCTCCCCTCCTCCTCCTCCATACCCTCCCCTCCTCCCACAGCTTACCCGCTAAATTTAGCTGGATGATTGACGCCACGTGACCTCAACACCAATTCAGTTTTCCCGCTAAATTTAGCGGGTAAAATGACGTCTCATGACTTCGTGTCGCGTCATCGTTCAACAAATGAGATTTAAAACTGCGAGTTGGGCTAGTTGGTTCTGATTCATAATGGGGATATACGCCAAAACACGAGACCAAAAAGACCAGTAGCACACGGGACTGCTTTCTTTCTTTCTTTTTTTTTTTTTTGTCCTGTGCATTATTTGTCTTTTTGTCCTCGTTTTTGGCGTATATCCTCATTATAAAGAAAGTTTATTTGATTTCAATAAAATTAGGTTGATTTCAATCGCTGTAGCAGGAAATAATGACTCTTTATCATTACAAGTAATTCTAAACATGACAGATTGATTTATAAATCCGTCCGATCACTGATAATAATACGGAAGAAATTAATCAAGTACAGCTCAATTCAGGCAGGTAGGAGGGGGGGGGGGGGGGGACGCAAGGCCCCCCCTCCCCCCGAAATCTTCCCTTCTGCTGGGACCCTCCTCTCCCCACTCCCTCTCATACAGAATTTTGTCATGGGCGCCCCCCCCCCCCCCCCCCCCCCCCCCCCCCCCCGCCCCCAGAAGAGCGCTGTTTTTTGCTCGTTTCAGCCTTATGTAAATCTGACTTGCTTAATGATTTTCTTTTGTTTTGTTTTAGTGCGAAACAAAAACGCATAGAAAAAATTAAATGGTAGACAAACTGAAAATAAAAGCTTTCGGAAATATTTTTGTGGGTAAGGTTTTATTTAAATAACGATTTCAATCATGAATAAAATCTTAGTTTTATTCTCCACCCTGGTAAAGAGGCCCAAGTGTACCGCGCGCTAGCTTTTTCGAATAATAATAATAATAATTTGCAGCTGAAACGTTACCCCGGGTGGCCTGCGAGATTAAGACAGAGAGGCAAGGGCCCGTGCGCTGGTGCGCCTGGCACGAAAAAAACAACAAAACAATACCAATAACAGTTCAGAAAGCGTAAAGCAATCAACTTAGCAGCTTAATAATAATATTAATAATAATAAAAAGTTGTTGACGAAACGTCACAGGGGCATGTGTCCACGAAACGAGCTTCTACGAAACGTAAAGCGTCGACGAACCCTACAAAAAAAATTGACCACGAAACGTGTTTCCAGAAAACGTGTTTCGACGGAACGACAAAAAGTCACACAAGTCAAAGCTACTAAATGTGTGGTCCTAACCGACTGAGCGCAGCATCAAGATTTCTCTTCTCTTTGGGTATTACCAATAATGCAATACCTTGCTAGTCATTGGCTACTCTCATCTTCTCACTATCAATTGGGGTAAAGTAATTAAGCGATCGTACAATTTTGGCACCGCGACCTCGTTTATCTATGCTGCGCCTCATTCACTGGCCTCGTCGGACACCCACAGTCTTGAATACCACAACAGATAGATGGCGTAAACATCCGCCTACTTCCATATAATATAATATGTCTACACGAATCACAGATATTATTGCAATACCGCAAAACAAATACAGTTTACAAATAGTATCATGAAAAAACTCGTAATAAATAAGTTTTATGACACATATTGGTGAATCAGATCGGTTTCTTCTCTAGCGCGCAATCACCAAGCATCTGTCCTGACGTGTTTCAAGTGTTGCTCCGCGTTCACTGGATTAGGCCTACGCTGAGTGTCTCCGGTGGCTTCTCTGTTCGCATTGAAATTCGACGTAAAATTACTAGCGTGTGCGTTTTTAATTACCACGGAAGTGTCATGATACGTCACTAGGCACGCCTTCGCAAGTCACGGACACATCTGGACGAGGACAATATGTTTATATCCGTAAAGATTCTCCAGGGCCAAGAATGCACAATAGAGGTAAGAAAGAACGCAGCCCAATAAACGAGTGCCGCATCTTTTTCTTCTCTTTCTAGATTTCGAGTAATCCACCGATTAAGAAGATATTAGACCGATGTAGGTCCGCGTAGGTGTTACTCTGATTAACGTGGAGGCCGAAAAAGCTCAATAGCTTTTTTTTTTTTTTTCTTATTCTTTTTAGGCGCGTCGGTTTACCTCTTGGTTCGCGTACGGGAACTGATTATGCAATCGAGTCATCGGCTGGGTGGGCGCCGTGCTTTAGCACGTTTCTGCAGCTCGAGACAGAGGAATAGCAGCGTCGTTCATTCTTTCTGAAGAAAGCCTCCGTAGCGTATAAAACACGGTGAACTGCGGGGACCTCAATGTTTTGTTTGTTTACTTCAAGGTATCTGCCAGTTCTTCCATAAGCGCCGTCAAGCAGCTAGTAGCCCAAGAATTGCAAATTCCGGTGGACCAGCAGCGCCTTGTGTTCAGAGGAAAGACCCTGTCTGGTGAGCATCCTTCTCTAACATACCGTTGAACCATAGATCTATACCAGGGACTGTATGGTCTTTCAGTCCACACACAACACTTGCCTCCTATTTCGTGCAGTCGGATTGGAAATAAAATGGAGTGCATAGGCTTGATTTGCCGTGCCTGCTGGTGCCAGTTGGAACTGGTAACCGTTGTTTACAAGTATTGGGAAGCGCTGGCAGACAACCTCTAAGTATGAGTTGTTCGTTTGCTCAAAATTGTGTGAATGGATGATCCAGACTAGATTTATTTATATGATCAATTAAGCTGTACCTCTAAGGGCTTTGCCTCAACCATGGTGTAAGATAATCTTCATGTGAGGACACGGAGCACGACTGCTGCAACGCAATCGACCAGGCGCACGTCCAAGTAGCCTAGGCCGGCATCCCCGTCAGCCTTGTTGGACGCTGGCTAAACATTGTGCTGGAGGTTTCTTTGCTTTAATGTGCTCATAAAACTGTTCCAGGGGTGGGATAGCTGCGCCAATTGTGCAAATTTTGATACACGAAAGGAATATTCTGAGCCTAGTTGCGCCAGAAACAGTGGATCGTTCAAAATTGCGCCAAATTGTACCAAAATACCTCAAAACCTACTGAAATAAGCAAAACAACTATATTTAGCAAAAAAAAAAAAAAAAAAAATAATTTGGTTACGACTTTTAGTTACGGTTTTGTTTGAGGCTAGCTGCGGCAGCTCATTACCAAAATGTTAACCATGGCCAAATTCGCTAAAAAAAGGCTCATCACCATTTTCTCTAAACTGAGCTTCTCTGTGAGGCGATTCAATAAACTGGGGTCGGTAAGACTGCGTTTGCTAAAACAAGTTTCCTTAAACTGCATGCCTCCGGTTTTTACTTAGCACTCTGCTCCAAATATTTCTTTTCCCTGGGGTTGCTCTAAGATGTGAATTTTTCTGCTTCTAAGCTGCTAAAACATCCGGATCGTTTTGCTCCTAAGCTGCTCCAAGGCACCAAATTTTCTGCTCTAAAAAATACCACAGAACCTGTTCTAGTTGTCCCACCCCTGCTGTTCTTGCTGGCATTGCGGTATGAAAATAGGTTTGATAGCGAAGCTGTGTCTAAGCAACACCTATACACTCCGTGTGACGCGACCGGCGCATTGCCGCACGGCCGTTACCGAAGGTAGGCAGTGAGAGCCCCAGCGAAACGAAACCACGTCGCGTACCTTGGTACGCATTGAAGTCGGAGCGCTGCGGTGGCGCTGGGTTGACAGCATGGACTGCTGCGTCGTTAAGTGCTCCAATAGTTATGCTTCGTACCCCGTGGGGACGAAGTTTCACAGTTTTTCACCTCGACGATGTTTTGTGGGACAACGACCGCGATGGACCCATGCCGTACGACGCGAGAAATTTGGTCTCCCGATCATATGTGCCACTGTGTCGGCACTGCTGACATTCTACACTGCCGCTTTGCACTCTGCGTTTGTTTTCGTACCAGTAACGCCTACATATCTCAGCTCGAACTGAAATGCCATCCCACACTCGCGGGTATGCAGTGCGAATTTCGTTGAAGGAATGCCCTCCAAAGAAGTTTCGTCCCCATCGTACGTGTCAATGATATTTCCGGACCAGTATGGGACGCAGTCTGTACTTCATGAAGAAAGATTCGGACGGTACAAAAAGTGACAAATATGAATCTAAGGAAAACTACAATGAAACTTGGAATCACTGGACAATCAATGTTTGACTATGGAAGTTTATGTGGTGTGCTTTCTTTTTGATCAGCCTCCTTTTGGATGTGGAAACGCTGACACCCCGAGTCTTGTAGACAACAATTTTTTTTCTCGGCTTTAGAGCCACCTATCGCAAAGTTATTCGAACTGGAAGTACCGTCCACTGGTCCCTTCCTAACTGTAAAGTGTGCACCTCCCGACCATGATGAGTGGTATTCTCTTGACAGTCTATGACGTTTAAAAACGGTTCCCATTTAGTTACGCTGCCCAAAAATATTTCCACCTGGTTAAACTATGCCACCTCTTTTAGGTATAATAAGTGTTTTGTCAAGTTACGGTTGTCCAAGTACCTGTGTGCCGAAAATCAGCACCTCGCACAACCAGATTACTACACAACAGCTGACCGCAAAAGCCTTTGACGGCCAAACCGTGTGTTGGCCGGCAGCTTGGTTTTCTCGGTTTTGAAGTTACCTTCCATAAAGTTGTTTCAATTGGAAGTACAGTGCACTAGACCCTTCCTACCTGTAAAGTCTCCATCTCCTACGACGAGTGGTATTCTCTTGACAGTTCTTTCACGGCCAAAACCGTTTCCCATTTAGTTACGCCGCCCAAACCAAATTTCCACCTGGTTTCCCTATGCCACCTATTTTTGCTATTATAACTGTTGTGTCAAGTTCGGTTATGTCCAAGAACCTGCGTGTCTAAATCTGCATTTTGCACAGCCCGGTTATAACACAACATTTTGGGTCCAATATGGGATATTCCTGACAGCTTTATTACTTTATTTGTTCGAACCATAACTTTCACACTTGCTGTCTTAATAAAACTTGGCCCACTTAGTGCACAAATTTAGTGAACATCTCGCTCACCTCCAAATATCATTGTCCCACCAACTTTGCAGCGATGAGCGAAACAAATTTTCCACCGAGAGCAATTATGGTGGTGGCCATCTTGTTTTCGGAAAATTGCCCAAACCCCTTTTTCGACCGCAACTAGAGAAATTATCCCTATTGACGACTGAAACTCAATATGTAAGAAGCGGAAAACAGCTAAATGCCCTTCTTAAATCTGCCCCAGCACTCGTGCAACGTCACCCTCAACTTATCGGCTCAAAAAGCAAAAGTTCCGTCCGTGCGCGCTTCCGCCGCCACAGCTTCGCATGCGAAAAGGCGCCGCAGGCTGCTGAGCGCGCCTCACTGTCGAACGCTGGCTCCTCCGCTAGCGGCGCTATGCGCGTTTTTCAAAGCGCCCTCTATAGTTCCCGCACGAAGCGTATAGCTCAAGTGCCAAGCTCTGCGTGACGCGGCACACCAAGAAAAGGACCTGAAAAACAAACTTGTCTCCCATAGAGAAGCACGGGAAATTGGGCCCGCGACAAGCTACGACTTATAGAAGAGTCTTCTGGTGGTGCTGCCTACAACCAAGGCGAGGAGAGGATTTTTTCTGGCAGCTGCTACGCATGCGGTGCCCACACCTGTATATATCTTACGCCGTGGCCCCCACTAGGGTCAGTTATAGGTTAAGAACGCAGAGAATGCTTTACCCACAGGCATTGTGTGCCCTGTTCGAGTCCATCTGCACTTCCACTGTCTAGAAAATAGTGCGTCGTCATTGACGCCACCAGTTTCAGGCACGGATGGAGGGAGCAAAACTCGCTGCTGATCGAGCGGGACGATATCGTTGCGACGCGGCGATCTGCGCTACTTCGCACAGTACAAATCAGAGGGCTGAAAAATTTTCAACCTCACGTTGAGGGTGACGGCAAAACACGATGGTCACTTAGTTCGACGGCTCTTTTCTATACGACAGTGGTAAAATGAAACGACTGTTGTTTACTTGACTTACTGTGTGACTGAGCATAACAATGAAATTTGGCAAGAGCACTACGTTTCACAAATAAGTAAGTACTGCCTTGAAGGTACCATTTCAATAGCCCTACGTCGTTTATTAAAACCAGCAGAGAAGCGGACGGAGCCAAGTGAGGCAGCACGGCAGTGGCATCAGTCAAACATCTCATGCTGTGTAATGTGTCATGAAAGGTCACCATACCGTCACAATTTTGTGACATACTTTGTGTTGAGGGCGAGCGGTAAGCGAACGAAGGGAAGCTAGCGGTGCTGACGAACCGTGTTGGTGTTGACCACTGTCTTAACGGTCGCAGAGCCTGGGTACTGTGAACACTTCAGTGGGCACTGTGAACACTTCAACAGCAACACCGCCATTGGAATCACACGTCACATGGAAACTATTGCGGACAAAAGCAGATATGCGACATAACCCTTTGTAGGTCAAGTGCAGAAAAGTCGCTGCGAGACGTCAGTATCTCTGTGTCCCCAGCTTCGCATGCTGCACTGTTAAAAGAAAAAGTTTGTAAAGCTGTGACATCGGTGACGGAGGAAAAGAGTGGGAGCAATTAACTGGCAAAGTGACATGAATCCCTTTGAGGGGAATTTGCCACTGCATTCTTAGCCTTTCATTGACTCTAGAGAAACTAATGCCAAACTGCTGAGGGGCATGCAAAATATGCCTTGCTGGCAGCCCTTTCTTATGCTTGAACATCACCGATTCTCCACAAAGGAATATGTTTATGAACAAATGGTACTGCTGAAAACTGCCCGGGTTACCAAAGAGCTAGTTTTGTTTTGTCGCCGAACAAATATCGACGTTGGTTGAACTAGTGAGGGTAGGCTGTAAGACACCTTGTGAGCCAGCATTCAAATCTTGCTTAAGCCATGGGCCATCGCTCTGTGCTTGTTGTGGGTGCTCACATTTCATTTCATCCCAGATTGCTGAGACCAGGGGCCCTAATCTACATGGCGAGACCGAGCGGGACCAGGACATCGCCGCCTGCTGCAATAGACCTTTTGCTAAATTACTTAAGCACCAAGGAGCATGTTGCGAGTCTAGTCACACGCGCCGCACCCGCTGGCGTCTGCATAAGTAACTGTTTTAAAGCAAAAGCCTAAAACAAATGGCATCTTGCACGTGCGTTGTCAACGCCTTATTTAGGTTATTTACTTCAAATCTTTTGTACTGGGAAGGCGAGCACATGTTGCACGTGTACCTTCATTTCCAGCATTCTCCTTGATGCTTGGGTAATTTAGCAATAGGTCCATTCGTCAGCAGTGCAGAGCTGGCCAACCACAGCAGGCGGCAATGTCTTGGTCTTTTGGTCTTGCCATGTAGATTAAGGCCCTAGGTCAGTACTGGTGTCATCTTTAAGCCTTTCTCAAGTTATTTCTGTGAGCTACCAAATTCTGCTGCCTTAGTTTATGCAGCACATTTTACTACACTAACAGTTTTGTTCCCTTGTCACTGGGGTTTTTCAGCTTTCTTACATGCCAAGTTCTTATTTTCTCGACCTGTCTGGAAAAAGTGCAAGAAATCACTGAACGAGCATTCCAGCTAGTAGTGTTGTGCACTCCACTATTGAATGCTTTTTCTCTCTTCCTGCATTATCCAACTAATATTTTAAGCTATGAACTGTTCGCTGGCTCACCAGCGGGGGCATTCACTGGACGCCATATTTGAGTGCATTGTTCATTTCACATGCTCAGGACAAGCTCACATTTATACACTGCTAAGACTGGTAACCTTAATGGTATGGAATGCACATTACAAAAGATCTGTGGATGCTCACCATCAGCTGGCAGAGTTCATTCTAAGTGAGGTATTTTCAGAATTAGTGTCAGTTTTGTACCAGAGTGTTCTCCAAAACATGCAGCGTGCTGTTTTTATGACACTGAAGAAAAAAGATGTGGGATGTCAAAATACTATTCCTATAGCACATTCCACACATTGAGTGCAGGATTGTCAAAAAGAAAGACTAAAACGAGGATCTTTGCGAGATATGTTATTTGCTTGCATACTCGCGTATGAAAAGCACATTCCAAAACCTTTCACTCACACTCCTGGGCATGATTGTCTTTTCTAACCCTACCCATGCACACATGATTATTGTCTCCTGAAAGAGTTATGCCTTCATTGGCATTGATATAAAATTGTACTATTTCATTAATGCCCAGCCCTCACAGAGCATATTCTCTGTGTATTTACACGCGCTTCAATGGGCTTACTCCCGATGTCTAGCAGGCTTCAAGGCATGCGCTTTCGCGGTGACAACACTGGCGCTGTCCAAGGTTGGTGTTTTTACACACACCTCTTTGAGTCTGTTCGAGCTAAAACTTGGCATGCCCTCCCCAAAGTATCTGTTTACGTGTCCACTATACTTTGCCCACTTCTAAGTCGACTAGGTGGTGGAAGCCGCACGCCCGTCAGACCGACTGACCGACCACCTGCACACGATTGGCTGACCTCGCCCTCTGTGCATGGGTATGAGCGGGTGCGTCACCACGTGACGGAAGGTTGTCGTACGACTCGTCCAAAAGGCATGTAGCTTCCACTGTCTCGTTAGCTTAGCAGCGAATGGACTAAGGTGGTGAAAAAAAGTTCCTCCCCCAAACATCCTCGTTGGTGGATCCACGTGGCATTGCCCACCCTGCGTCACTGTTGCTGCCAGCTCATCCTGCACAGTCTCGCAACGAGCGCGTCGCTAGCACGGGAAGGCGCCAAGTCGGACGTGTCTGCCTCTTTGCGGCGATTTCGTTTGCTTCAAGGTGTTTGTCACTCGAAGCAGATGCGTTATGTCATGCACGCCAGATCATGCACTGGCCTTGTCTTCTAGGTGCAGTCCAGAATTACGACTACCAAGGCAGTTGTAAAAACGTCAAGCATGTGCTCTACGTGGGCCGGGATGTAGACCATTGATTCGCTGCAACTCCCCTTGCATTGGCATTAACGAAAGGCTTGATGGTGAAAGGGTCAAATCGGTCAAAGCCTTCCTCTTAGCACAAGAAGAATTGAGCATGCGTCATGTGTAATGGCTGTACATTCCTTCCGGGAAAGCAGATGGCTAGGCTCTGTAAGTAAGTGGGGTGGCAGTCATTTGAGTAAATTTGTTATCCCCACGGGCCCTCAGGTACCGGTAATCTCATAGTTTTTTCTCACTGCCGTCTGCCTGTGCCCGTTCTCCCTGCAGATGGCCTCTCCCTCGAAGACTACAACATTGAGGAAGGCAACCGGCTGCACCTGTTTGTTCTAAAGACGGCCGAGGACGCCGCCCTCGCCTGGGACCAGATGCGGAAGTTCCTGCTCTCCCAGTTCTCCCCAGAGGACGCAGAGAAAGTGTTAGAAGAATACAAGAAGGCGAGTAGGCTGTTCTCAAGTTGAGGGTATTTCTGTGTTTTCAGCCGAGGTTGGCGAGCTGCCTGGTTGACATTGAGACTGTAGTCACCAACGGGCCTAGAACCACAGGGGGGGGGCTTCGGTTGTTTTGCCTCCGGTGGAGGCTTCCTACTTTTGACGACGTTGCACGAGCCTTGAGCACGCCCATGCGACCAAAATGTGGCGGAAGGCAACAATGCACGTGCTCGAGGCCGAGCATCGGCGACTGTGGTGCCACAATGAAGTGGAACACCTTTTCTATGAACTGGGTAACTGTCTTGGACATTCGAAGTGCAAAAAGGCCTTCAAAGTGCTTTGTGTAGTGATGAATGGTATCCGGGTAAGCTGATGTGCGTGACTACAGAATGGTCGGAAGTGATGCGTCTTGTCTCGTTTTAATGTTCCTTTGTGCCTCATCTTTTTGACTGCTCATGTAAACACATGAGGTGGGGGTGGCGAAAACTAACGTAAACATTGACTGTTTGGAATGTCCTTTTGTTCACCTTGTAGTGTGGCTCATACAATACAAGGTGTCTCTCTCTTATACATGACTTGCACATGACGTCACCCAAAGTGCTCTCCCATGGCCACCAGAGAAAGACGGTAAGAATGAGCTGCCCTCTTACCAGGACCCTCTTTCGCGTCTTCCAGATTGGCCCAGATGTCGCTATTCTTCCAGAAGATTATGGAAGATTAACCCATCACTGAAAATTTCCACAAAAGCAGCTTCTTTCTGTTTCGTAGTGGCCAAAAGTATGCAATGTGACGTCAGTGCAAGCCATGTATACAGACCACAATACAAATTGTCGAGACATTCATTTGTGTTTTTTTTCTTGTTTACTCTTACAATTGAAAAGTTGTCTTCTAGACTAGGGATCTCCAAGCTTTTTGGCTCAGGGACCGGATTGAGGATTTGTCGCAGTCTCAAGGGTTGGAAAATTAATAAGTAACTACAGTCGCCGACTGATTTTTTTGGACTTCGTTTGGGGCTGAAAAAGCGTTTGAATAATAAAGCAGTCGGAAAAATCAGCAGATTACAAAACTTTGACTTTATTAAGCCTAAGTGGGCTTAAAAAAGTCGCTGAGGGCACCTGTGTCACATTACGCTTGCAGGCGATCATATTCGCGTCAGCGTCGTGTCTTCACCCAGCAGAGGTGCAGGAGAGGCCATGAAATCCATAGCATGTATCAACGCTGGGCAAAACGCTGAAACTGTGAGACATTTATTTAGGTGCAAAATTTAGAAGCTGTCAACAGTAGAGGTCTGCACTGGTGCGGGCCAGCCCGCAAGCCACGGGCCAGCCCGGCACACGAGATGGGCTCAAGCTTCACGGCTACATTCATCAAGGGCTCGGGCCAGGCATGAGCCTTGCATTCAAGTCAACAAAGCAAACCAAGCCGGCAATATTTTTTTTTTTTTTTATGTTTTTTGGGGTTTTTTTTTTTAGAGAAGGACTATATGGGGGAGACCCAAATGCTGAAAGCATGTGTGTGCTTTTATATGTTTTTGTATGGTTCTGTGTTTGTTCAGCGAATGCTCTTCCAGAGAACTAGCGGTGCGGCGTTAATTTTCGTCGCCAGCGGCGGCGCCGCCGTACAGCCGCTTCTTCCCATCAACACGCACACATACCCGCCTACACAATGTGCACCCTCGCAGGCGTAGACCATCTGTGGGTATGAGTGCGTGTATCCATAATATGGGTGAAGGGGTTCCCCCGAGGGGTGCTTTTCCTAAACCATTTCTCGCAAACCACCGCAAAAAAACGGGGGTATTTTTTTTTTTTTCGGTTGCATGCAACTGGAGTGGGCAGTTAGGCCATTTTTTGTGTTTTGTCTGAACCCGTCGCAATGTTTCTCTTCCTTTTCAACTTGGACACATGGTTTTGTTTGCTGCTGCTTGCCCTTTTAGTTTTTAAACCTTTTCGTTGCGCGGGTTTGGTCGCAAAAAGGACTATCTGGTGATTTTTCTTAACAAGCTGCATAGGCCCGCAGATTAATCTGACTAATTATAGCAGCAAAAAAAGAAAAAAAAAATTACAATTACTGCATTGACCATAGGGTACCATAGTCGTGGAGCGGTGGCAAGCCAGCTGCCATGCCGCACAATTTGTGAGCTATTCATACTGGGCGAAAATAGAGCGAGCCTCAGCGGGCCCCTGAAAGTCAGCATCGGGCCGGGCCGGGTTGGCTGTCGAAAATAAATAGTGGGCCGCGGCCGGGCCGAAGAGACCGTGGGCAGGGCCCCTAAATATCAGCCCGTGCAGACCTTTAATCGACAGTGCTCTTCACACTTGATGGATGGAGACTGGCGTGAAAACAGAACAAAAAGTTGGTTGGAGATAGAAAATCAATCAAACAAAGAAACCTAGACGATCATGATGATGATGCGTAGCAAAAACGAATTGCATGGCGTAGCACGCCTAGCGGCTGGTTTAGTAGCGCTAAAATAGTGCTGTCAAACCTATCCAATCCATTTCAGCCTTCAAGTCAAGCCCACGGTCAAGCCAGCAAAAAATCCAAGATGGCAGCCTCTCTATGGCTGCCACTCGTGACTAGAGTGCAACCCACTTATAACGATGACGAGAGAGCCTGAAATTTCAGTCGTTATAACCGATTATCGTTGTATCTGGACTAGAAACTGATAATTATCAGTTTAGAAACTCCAGAAACTGGTTGTTATAAGCGATACATCGTTATATGTGGCATTGTTATAAGTGGGTTCCACTGTAGTTTAGCCCGAAAAGTCAAACTTTCGGAATGCAAAAATTTTTAATATATACCATTTCAATGAAATGAGTCACGGTTGCTCGTCAATGTTAAGAATAACTAGCTAGTTTGAATTTTCGGTGTCCGAAAAATTGGCCGAGGACTGTGTAAACGAGTTAAAACTAAATAGGTAAGCCTAGATAACCATTTAAAGACAGAAATTCAGGTTAGGGTATAAGTTTAAAATTATACAAACTTGACCATGCTGACAAAGCCTGGTAAGCACAGATTGTGCGCCTGTCGAAACGTGCAGGCCTTGGTTTGGAAACCCCTGTTCTAGACTATTAGTATGGTATTACAGCACTTGTCCAGGGCTTCACTTTAGAAGGTAATCTTTTGTATTTGTCACTATACTATGAAGTAGTGTAGTAATCTGCACAACTTCTTGGTTAACTCATGTATTCTGCCCCCCTGGCACCACCTGAGGGGAAACTTTTGCTTTCTTTTTGTAGAATAGAGGGTACGACCGGCCGTACTTCGCCGCGTCTCAGACAGCACTCCCTAGACGCTTTATTCTCCAGCGCGAACGGTACAATCGCAGCGCTCGGAACAAGGGTGCCGCCGCGCCCACTGACGGAAGTACGCTGAACCTCTTAAAACCAATAATGGTTCAGTAACACTACATTTTCCCCCCTTTTAAGTTCTCTGGCCTTAATGCACAACTGAGCTAATCAACTCAACGTTCAGTCATCAAATCTCAGTGTTTTAGGCAGTCTCACAATTCGACCCGACTGCATAGCATGTTGGAGTCGACAGGAGATCTCACTGTGTTCTGGTTGCCACTGCACGAGCGGCTTGTAGGCAGGTTCTTTTTCCGGCTGTGACGTTTCACTAGAGGCCTCCTGGGGCAAGTCCTGCGGCAGGGGAATCGCCTGGCTGCAGTTTCTTCTCAGGGTTCCAGAACTGGTGTCGACGTACAAGGATCTGGGTGTTTGAGCATGGCCCATAGCCACATGCAAGGTCGGGATGCTGAACCGGACTGTCCTTTTTAGGTGGTGCCAGTGGTCTTGCTCTGTGGCGCCTGTCATAATTCTGCTTCTGCCTTTGTCTCTGTCTTTGATCCTTCCTTTTCCATTCTAACTGGTTGGAGGTTCGGGGCTTCAGTTGATCAGGATACATGAGAATTCTGTTGCAGAGTGTTCTTCCCATGAGCAGTGGGGCGGGACTGAGTCTTGTAAGGCCTGGCGTGTTGCGGTAGTTAAGCAGCGCCAGGTAAGCATCTCCACTCTTCTTCCCAAAGCTCTTGATTGTCTTCACCGTTTGCTCTACTCCCCCATTGGCTTGGGGGTACTTCGGGCTTCTTGTGATGTGTTAAAACCGGTAATGCTGGGCGAGGTTCTTGAACTCTGCCGCGGAAAACTGCGGACCATTGTCCGTAATCAGGACCCCTTGTATCCCATGTCGGGCGAAGATACTCTTAATTCGCTCAATAACAGCCTTTGCTGAAGTGGAGGACTGAAGAATGTTGACTTCAGGATACCTGGAACGATAATCAACTAGAAGATAGTTCACACCATCGATCTGGGACAAGTCAGCGGCAACTTTCTGCCAGGGCAATTTTTGCGTCTGAGGCAGCAACATCGGTTCTCGAGTTGACTCTTGTACATCGCACACTCTGCGCACTTGCTTACGATGTCTAATAGGGCACTGCTAATTCTCGGCCACAAAAGCAGTGTGTCGAACCGAAAAAAATACGGGTTCGGTTACGGTTCAGGTTCAGGTAAATTTATTTTGTTCCGGTTCAGTTCCGGTTCGATTAATTCGATCCGCGAACCGGTTCGGGGCGCTGAACCGGTTCGGAAATTATAAATGACAAATTGCATCAAAATAAATTACAAATAAAACATCTGAAATCAGCACATACGAAACGGGATACATCGTAGTGTAAGACTCAGGGATTTCTACCAGGAATGGTTTCTTTATGTGCACTCAAAGGTTACCTCACCGACGTTTACGCATTCGGACTTCATCTCATTGGGTCCGACGCAGTAGCTGTAAAATCCACGACCTCCTTACAAACCCACTTACAAGTAGAACTCGCTAACTATCCCGCCACCTCGGCGTGTAAGCAGTTAAAGGAACAGTGGGGAGAAAATACAGCTTTCTTTATTTGAACTAGCCTTCGGTAACTCAAATTAGACCCTTAAAGAAGAAGATTCATGGATGCAGCGTTTGTCAAGATTCATGGATGCAGCGTTTATATTCCTAAGACTGAT